TGAGATTGAACCCTCAAAATTCGATTCCATTGGAATTCTTCTCGGAATTTATTTCGAACTCTTTATAATTCTCTTGGAAGTATCGTCAGAAATCACATCAGATCCGCAGATACCATCTTTGGAATAAACAGGATTTTCATTGAATTTTCAACAGAGCCAACAGAATTAATTTAGCATTCTTATTAGAGTTGGAACTAGAATCCTCATCCAATCATAATAGAATTCTTCTCAGAACTCTCGTTAACATGCAATCTCAATTATATTAGAATTATTTCCAAAATTGTTCCGGAGCTGATTTTTGCGTCTCTATTAATTTTAACAATAATCAAAAGCAACGCTCGTATGTGTTAAGTGAAGTTTAACTATATATGTAGGTTAACCTAGCTTAAGATTCAAGTGCAGAAGAAGAAATCGCTCCTAAGTGCAGAAGAAGAAATCGGAACCCTTTAAAATTCTCTTAAAATTTACTTTGGATTTTTTAAAGTTCCTAATCATCATTGAAAGACTTTTGAAAATCTATCACAGACAAAATACCTTTGGAAAGATTCCAAGGTTTACAATTTATTTTCCCGATTTTTAATCGAAATTGTAGGCATTTCTGAATAGTTTTCCTGGTGTTCTAAAGTTTTGCGGTTCACTGGTCACCCTGGTAAAAATTTTAAATTTTTTAACAGATATGTAAAATTCGACACATTTTTATTGGTGAATTTCCATGTAAAATTCCATATGATTTTCATGTGAAGTCAGAAGTACACATGAAATTTATGAGTCAAATGAATAGTAGGTGTGTTTACACATGAATTGTATGTGTACACATAAGAACTATGTGTCCGACACATATAAATCATTTGTTTATCACATTGCAAAAATTCATGTTCGGGACACATAAAAATAATCATTGAATTTTTATTAGTGTAGACTTTCTTAGTGACAAGTACTCAATTTAAACATTTTGTTGATGTTTTTAAATTTCACTCTATTTTAGTAGCGAAAAAGTGACTTGAGTGACTATTTTTAGGGAAATAGTTACTTTAGTGACTTTTTGGTGTAAAAAGTGATTTTTTAGTGACTGGCTTCAAAATAGTGACCAAGTCACTAAAAAGTGACCTACTACCAGCCCTGCGATAACGCTATGCCCGAAATGGAAAACAATAATGATATAATCTTCTTCTCTTCTTGTCATGAAAAACTCTCTTTGCAGTAGCAGCTCACTCGGGCCGGTTGAAGGAAACGATTATAGGCATAGCCAGAGGGGCACACAAAGGCTTTCGGTGAAATGGCATTCGGCCAAATTTTCCATAGTAAGTTTTGTGTTGCCCCTCCCTAGCTCGAAACCTGGCTACGCCCTTAGAAACGACCAAATTGTTGGCAAACTGCTTCACGAAGTAACACCGAAGATGATACACGTGTGTTAATGGGATTTTTATTTGTAATGTCTTTTCTCGATTCCGATCATGCTACGTCCTCAACCGTGTTTATTGCAACAAAGCAGGCAAGCAATATAAAATTATCCTTCTACAACTCCGATCAAACTATATTACAGAGAAAGAGAGTTTATCATGGTAGTAGTAGCAAGCGTTTTGTCTTTATCGTTGGTTGCTTTATGTGTTTGAATTCGCTTGTCTGAAGCTTAGAAATTGTTTGGAATTCTCACTGGTATCATTTTGGATAAATGACATGAACTTAACTAATTTTGTAAATGCTAATAAATTGCTGATATTTTGAGACCTCTCACTTCATTTTCAGTATCCCAAAAAAAAGATAAGAATTTCGACCTGGAAGAAATATTCAGAATTCAAAATGCAATATTAGAGCTATCAGACTTATCATTTTTATTAATAGAATTTGAATATAGGTTATCAAAATAAGCAGGGGAAATGACGGCTTCGGCATGACAGACTGTTTTCAGCAACCCAAATTGAAACGCTAATTTCACTGGATTTTCTTACTAAAACACTTCGCTGAATGCATTCAAACGATTCTTTAGGATTTCAGCAAATATATTATATTAACAATATTATCCACTCTTTCGCTTATCTGGCGAACCAATTTTTTAGCGATGAAAGCACCTCTGTGGCAAAAAATGCTACCAATGTATTTGTTTATCGTCACGAGGGGTAAACCAAATCAAAATTTGTTTAATATTTCAAATGAATGTACTTCAGCATATTATTTTATTTGATGACAACAGTGACATGTCAGACAAATTTTAAAGTAATATACACAATGTAATTAATGAAAATAATGTGACTCTTACTTTTGTAATAAGTGCTATATTCCACCCCTCGATTGTAATTGAATGATTGTTGCTGACCTTTTTCAACGCTAGATGGTGCGTGAAGCAATATTTTGCGGGTCGCCATTGCAATATTTGGAAAAGGCACGAATGGATCATATTGTAAATATGATATATTTGCTTTCAGCTTCAATTTGATTATATTTTTACCACAGTAATCGCACAGGGTTTTCTTGAAATGAAACACGCACTACAAAATGCTGCTGATTTCGAGTTGCCGATGAAAGCACAGCTGTTTAACACGCAGCTCAAATAGCAAGGTTGCCGAATAAAAAGATGTTGCCCACAATAGTCTCTCTTCCGTTTCAAAACAGTTTTGACAATTCTTTCCACTGGAATTGTTAGAGCAGCTGGCAGCAAAAGATTGTAAATAAACCAATAATGCATATGTGTGCGTTCCTTAGGGAAAAAGACTGTAGAAAGTTGATCGCTGCTTAGGTTGCCGGGAATACATAAATTCCCCTATTAAAATTGTGATTCCATTCCCGGTTATTTCCCGGTTGCTTACCCTGAATTCAAGAAAATCTGCATTTATTTTTTTAACATGGATTTTAAGTGATTTTTTCTCTCAGTGTTTTTTTTTTTCCCTTAAAGTTCGTTTAAGCACCTTTTTCTTAGACATTGTTTATAACTTTATTAACATAGTCTCGAAAACGGCAACGTGGGGCTTTAGGTAGTAATGAAACATCGCTAGAACTATTCCACAGCCGCAGGCAGTATTTGAGCAAAGACAGGCGCACATTTTTTGCCTGTAGATTTGAAGACATACTTCAAATCTCCGCATACATCGTACGGGTTAGGCAAAGAGTGTGCGTTTGACTTGCACTGTCGCATTAATAGTCCTTGGCTTATTTTCAACTTCTATTTAATTGTCATACTGCCGTACTCTAACGGAACTATCTACATACCCTCTTCTAAGATCATTCTCTAGCTAATAATTATCACACTAAAGCTTCATGTTAGATAGCATTTCCAACCAACTCTAAAGTGATCATATTTTAATGCGAAATGTAATCACATGTGCAATGTTTCATTCAAATCCAACGTGCCCAATTTTCATAATCCCTCTAGTAAAAGATCTAAATTGCTTAAGAAAATTCCGCTTAGTTCAGAAATCTTTAAGATGGAGCCTATAGATCTGAAATTCGTTAATAAATGACTGAGCTATGATTTTTCAAACATTGCATGTTTGGTGGAGGCATCGTGTTAAGAAGATTAATAATTATCTTCACAACCAGCCAAAGTTACTTTTACTTTAATTTAGTTATGAGTATTCCATCAAATTGACGCTGGAACGTCGAGGGTCTACCAGTATAAGGAAGTATTGTTCTCCAATACGAAATCGAACACGGATCGACGGTGATCATTGAAGGTGAACATAATTACAATGATGCATATGCCTGGCTTTCTCTCTATCTCTCAGCCTCCATCCCGCTCTCATAAAGACGACGATATTTATAATTTCCACCCTCCAGGCAAGCGGTTTGATTTATTTGGACAATAATTCCCATGTTCCCCGTGCCCAGTCCAAACAATCCGGAACGATGGACCGCCCGCAGGCGGAAAATTGCAGATTTTATAAACAGTTTACGGTTTGGAACTGAGCTGGGAGATGGGATCGGATGCTATCGAATATTGACTAACCACACAGGAATGCGTGCACTGTAGCTGCTACACAGCAACAAACTGAGAGAAATGTGTGTGTGTTTGGAAAACAACGCATCGCGCGTTCTATAACAAACACCCGGACTCATCATGTCAACCAGGATGCCCGGACCCGGACGAACAGTTTTGGGACGATGCTGGAGTAATTGTTGTACTTTATTATTGGAACCGAATACGCGAACGGATCGGAGCTCCATCTCTTGTTGTTCGACAGCCGCCTGCCTGTTGGCATCTGACAAATAGACTTCAATTAGAATTGTTAATTAGACCCATCCCCGGCTCGACAGCGGTGAACTTTGCGAGATTTTGCGGATCCGAGGTGTGGCAAATGTGTGCATATATTTAACCAAATCTATTCCGAAGAAACCTTCCCCTGAATGACGCGAGTGTGATACGACACAACGGTTGATGTTTGCTGGATCGGTTGGACGGGTGATTAACGGTTACTCAAGTGGATTGATAAATTCAAATAGTGAGAGGAATATTAGGCTTCCTAAAAAAAAAAAAAAAACTTAAAATTGAGTATTAGTACAAGACACTGAAGTAGTCTGCACATTGTAGACGAAATACACGTATCAGCAAAAGCTATTGAAATCCCTGTGTACTCCGGATACCTGGCACGGAAAGTCCTGTGGATATTCTAATACATTGTAAACCTTCCTTTTGGATATTCAGGCTGTGTTCCATTTGGCGAATTTTCACTTAAACTTGACAGATGGAAAATTTCCAAATTAACCTGCTATTCCAGCAGACTTATATCTGACAGACAAGGAATCAATTTTGACACACACCTTCTCGAAAATTGGCCGATCAACAACAGAGGGATTTTCGAACATTATAATTTAGTTTCGAAGTGTCAAATTTAAGTGAAAATTCACCAAATGGACCACAGCCTCAGCCTGACCCTGATCGTATTTACCTATCATATCTCCGTTCGAATTTCACACATTCATGCCAAATAATAAATTGTTGACCAGCTCAAGAACGAACAGCTGGATGATAGAATTGTCAAAAAATATAAAATAAACCATTCACTCACCGTCGGTTCCGACTTGGGTGGAATCGCCAGGGCACACCGCACCGCCAGCGTTATCAGGCAGGCGACGGCTAGCTTCATCCTTACTGCTCTACTACTTGCTGCTGCTGCTGCTGCTACTACTACTACTGGTTGGAGTGAGATTTATGTCCAATTGCCAATTTGCCGGCAACCTACAAAACACTCAGCGGGCGGCTTCTCAGTTCTTCTTTCGCACTCTCCAAGAGCCGATGCGGCGTGGTTCGAAAATCCAATTCCTGCTGACAGTTTCGGTTTGATTTATTGCACTCCTATCATCGGATCGGATGGTAGCAGTAGCCTCAGTAGTATAATTTCTGTTTACACTCGCGCGCGCTCCAAGCTCTGCTGAACCGGTTCACTGCAGGCTCTCTCTCTCTGTATTATCACTGTTTTATATAGTAAACTGTAATGCACGAATCTCCGCCAACACCAGACGGCTTCTTCTTCTATTTCGATCAGATCAGCTGCAGTTGCACACTGCACTCTATGTGTGTAGTAATATGATATTCACAATGATGATTATTGCCACTGCTTATTAGTGCCGAAGCGATTTCACCCTTGAATTGATGATGCGTTCTTTACTTATATGCAAACAAGAGTTACTTTTCACACATCTTCGTCACTACTGATACAGCATCGCCATTCGCGTAGACCCACTCTATGTTCTACGACAACGAAGACGAGCAGTCGCACTCTCACTCAACGCAATATTTCATCTTAATACAAATTGACCTGATTTGATAATAAATTTATTTATTTGATTTTCGACTTCACCACTTCACATCCCTTCTTGCTGTCTGACTTGTGCGATACCACTGACTGGCGCGGTGCAACGCAAGTTCAACTGCTGTATTGACTGGTCAAGTACCGCGGTTTGATGACTTCATCGAAGTTCTGCTCGATAATTCAATCGCCGCATGAGGCAAAGACTTTCCTGAAGATTTACTGCGGCAAATCTGCGAAAAAAAAACAAAAGGACAAAATCGGTAAGAATTAGAACACGCAAATGCAAATCACATTAGGGCGGGCTCGTGTGTAGATTCTTATTGTCATTGTTTCAATATGGGCACGTTGAAGAACGGACGGAGCTCGGTCCGAGGCGAAGAAGAGGCGAGAATAAACTCACACAATTGTTTCAATTATTAAACCCCATAAATTAACCGCCTATTTGTCCACGCGCGAAGTGCTGCCACAAGTGCATCTCTGGAGGATCGCATGCGGCGATGTCAAACTGGCGTGGGTTGCATTCCGCACAGATGCGTCTTACAGTGTTTTGATGACTTTTCAGAACATTGAATTTGAGCTTAGAGTCAAGTGAGGCGACGCAACGCGGCCTGTGGAAAGGCATGGATCCGGTCACGCGCGATCATCGCAGAAACAAAATAGTTATTCTGCCCATAATCGCATATCAGCCCCATATGGATAGGAAACCAAGCAAAGATGGGACTGATATGTGATTATGGGTAGTATTCTCGGTCACTGAAAGATCAATGCAAACTCTTCCAATCAGTGTGACGTAGAATAATATCATAGTGAACACCGCGATCGAATGCGGATCAATAAAGACAATGTGTTGACACGTGTGACTTCCACGAAAAATCACAGGAATGTTGGGTAAAAGAGTTTGCAGCAAGGATCGTTTTGGTAAACGGTAAATACGCTGAATTGAAGAGATGTGTTCCAGTACAGATATGAAGCGTAGTGCCACCAATATCTGTATAATATAAATGAACTTGGAGTTGAACCCACGATCATGTGCTTAGTAAACAAAAACGGTCACCACTATGGCACCAAACCCCTCATATAGGGTGGCCAGTGAATTTTCATTTTGAAATTCCCGGTTTTCCCGGTTTAAATCACAACAAATTCGAATACGAATCGGATTGATCATCTCCTTTACCAAACTTCCGTTACCCCCCCAACGGGGGAGTTTGGCAAGGTAGATGATCAACCCGATTCGTACCTTCCCCAAATTGACTTTTGCTCGCTTTCTACTTTCTATATCCGCAGAGGAGTCGAGTTTCGAACGCCTTTAGATACGGTTGTGTCTTAAGTTTCTTCTCTGTTTTGTGCGTGCATTAACTTTCATAGTTTAGTAGTGCAAGCAACAGAAGATTTGACACTATCTGCGTTGTTTGATTTTTTCTCCCGGTCCAGAAATTTGTGGCATCGCGAGCGATAATTTTAATTTTAGTTTATTTACGTGGTGATGGTGTTGGTTCACTCGCAACTATTTTTGAAAAAAAATTAAGTGTTTTCGAACGAAAGTGTACCAAAAGTGCTTCTGAACGTGTTTCGTAGTTGGATGTGGTGAAATTCGTGGATTCCCGGTTGATTTTTGGAAATCCGTATCACAAAATTGCCCACCGGTTCCTTTTATTTTGCCGTTCGACGACGACGGGTGTGCTTTCGTGAGAGTGACGTTTATTTGATCCGTTTCTTTGCACGGGTATGTTTTTTTTTGTAACTAGCGTAAGTGTGCCTGCGATTTGCATTGAGTGTCGGAGATTGTAAGTAATCTGAAGGATGCCTCGCTGGATACGCCCAAGACTGGACGGGCAGTAGCTGGTGGCCGTGAACGGTTCCTGGGGAAAGCACTAGATGCGACCCTCCTCCCAGATGCCCATGGCAATACAGGAAGTATTGGTATTGGAAGGTAATTGCTTACTGAGCAGAAAAACGCGGTCCCAGATCCTTTCATATTAAAAATGTACGGTTAGATCGCTTGTTTATCGTGTATTTTGTAAAAATTTTCGTTGTCGTCGGTGCCGGGTCTGAATAGTCATAAAAACTTGAGTAACGCTATAATGTGGCCTTAGCACAACCGGTTTTGCTTACTGAGCAGAACATCATGAGTCTAATCTCAAGCCCATCCACATTCAAGATTCAATCGTTTATTTATTAACATGACTACATGGTAATAACAGCAACTCGATGTATAAAAAGGAGCTTGTCTGCCTAGTGGCAAACGTTTTTGCTTACTGAGCAGAAGACCGTGGGTTCAATCCCAAGCTCCTTCGCGTTATATAATTTTTAGGACATCAATTCAGCTTATCGTTTACCAAAACGAACCCTGCTGCAAACCCAACTCTATTACCCAATATCCCAGTGATTCCTCGTGGAAGTTCAGAGGTGTTCTCGGCTTCCATCAAAGCGAGTGTCATGTCAACACAATCCTTCCTATTCCTTTATTGACCTGTGTTCGGGCGCGGCCGGCGCTGGTATTGCCTAATTTAAGATCAACAGTTTTTACACATTGAGGATGATTGCTAGTCCCAAGCATCGTCTATTGGTTCTCTGTGTAATTACAGCTGGTCTGGCAATAACAGAGTAGCAACCGTGGGCGGTCAATCTTGCTCACGCTCATGCTCATGCTCTACTTTCTATATTCGCAGCACGTGAAATTTACCTTTTCCGATTTGGACCAAATTTGAAGGAGATGTTTATTTTGGTCTAACTTTTATGAATCTAAATTTTAGTGTCGAATCGAAATACCCGTCGGTCCAGGGGAGCATTTTTTTAATTTAAAAAAAAATAGAAAATTAGACAAGAAATCTAAATATGAATTTATTATTTTAGTGCAGTGTTGCCAAATATTTTATATTTGCCTTTTTTCTATTCTCCAAATAAGAAGATTTAGATTTCCATTCTGACAGCACCGTTCCCCATCCTTTTTACATAAGAAACACTTATCGACAAAAAGTACTTTGAGTACTGATACAGATACATGAGATACAGCATTTTGAAGTAAAGAATCCTAAAACTATGAGAAAAAAACATTTTTATCAATTTTTTTTTCGCCCACTCTTCTACGTAAAGGAACTCATTTTGCTCGCATACTATTTTTAATGATTTTTTTGTAATTCCGCATCATAATACGGGTTTTTTCGTCATGCGGTTGAATAACATAATGGCCAACTTTTCCTAACTAAAATAATCGTGCGCAAAAGTAACTTATGCGAACGGTTTTGAATGTTGCCTTGCTTCTCATCTACCAATCGAGAGCTTGAAAAATTGTGACAGTAATATTTCATAACCTACACATGGACGTCCATATGCAGTTAATCTTTAAACAGCGTGCTATACAGATAGAAATAATTAAAACTCAAACAGGTGGAATCCCTCTTCAGACATATTCCTTTGAATGTTTTCAGAAGATAACTGCCCAATGAATTTTTAAATAGAGATTTTGGTAAAGTGTTCCAAAATGTTATTTTTGCGTTTAATAGCTATCAATGTGTTTTTTGTTTGTTTCAAAATGTAGTTAATTTTATATTTTTTTTTTTTATTCTATCGTTTTGGCAGACAAACAGACATGCTGATCTTTTGTCACTTATTTAACAGTTAGTTTATATTTTGTTAGTAGGTAATGCAGCCAGAACCAAGACAATATCACCCCTATTCTGTATTTCGTTTCGAACGAAATTCTCATACAAAAAAATATTTTTTTGTATGAGAATTTCGTTCGAAACGAAATACAGAATAGGGGTGTATACTATCGACTAAAAGATAGCCCAAGTAACATTTTAAGTTTTATGAAATACTACAAACAACTATAAAACAACATTCATAAAACCCTGGTCAAGGCTATTTTGTCATTAATGCATCCACCAAAACCTCATTAAGACTAGAATATGTCTAGTTGGCCCATCCTGGAAAGGTTCTGAAGGGTGTATTCTCGAAACTCGTCAAGATTGATTTACTGCAAAAGGTTGTATGACGAACGCATTCAGAACCATTTGAAAACTACAATAAAAGCTATTTAGCAACAATAAAAACCCTTTTCGAGCCATTTCCCCTAGCCGCATGCTGAATCCACTAGGAAAGCATCAATCAAGATAGAAAAGGATTTATGAATCCGATCTTATCAAAATAATTAAAATAGAAACTGATGGTTTAAAAATATTGTTGAATATCCAAATTTATTACAATAGTTCTCATTAAGTGACCTAGTTTTAAGTGCCATATTCAATTTTATGTGAAATGTACGTGAAAACATCGAAAAAATTAAGTCCACCCTCGTAAAACGTCGATTTGACCAATTATTTAACATTGAAAAAAAAATATATTCTTCAGATCGAGCTTGGCCGACATTTTTTTAAATGATTTTTGCATTTAAATGTTTGCTCATTGCTAAATTTACCAAAATATAGTTATATCCAAGGCAACATAGATTGAAAATCAAAGATTTTAAAAAACAAGCAAACTAATTGTAACATGGCGGTGGCATAAAAGTTGATTTTCATGGGTCATTTGTGAAAAAGTTGTTTTGCTTTCAAGAATTCCTT